TCTCTCTCTCTCTCTCTCTCTCTCTCTCTCTCTCTCTCTCTCTCTCTGTGTGTGTGTGTGTGTGTGTGTGTGTGTGTGTGAGAGAGAGAGAGGGAGGGAGGGAGGGAGGGAGGGACGGGGAGAGAGAGAGAGAGAGAGAGAGAGAGAGAGAGAGAGAGAGAAACACACAGGGAGAAAGAGAGCGGGGAGAGTGGGAGGAGTTATGGAAAGTGGTGGCAAATGCTTGCTGAGCACGCACACTGAACTCGATGGGACTAAAGTGGTAAAACTGGATTAGGAGAAACTGAGAATGAATACGGGGGGGATGTAGGAGCTTAGTTCTGAAAAAAAATTTACTTGAATTTGAGCCAATTTAAAATGAAATTATTGGAGACTTAAGTTTTCCATGCCACCCCCTGCCACACAAAGTAGCAGTAAAAACAAATGTTTCCTTATATGTATCTGTGCCTGTATATAAAGGAGAAGTATTTGTTAAAAGTTTCCTTGTAGTTAGCACAAAGAAAGACAGGACACTGTTGTTATAGAAGAATTTCTGTTCTAAGAATATTCTAAAGATATGTCCATAATCCTTTCTAGTGCTATATTATGCACTAGAGAGAAATGCTCAGAGAACTACCAAGAAGCCTGGGCATGAAGACTGTTGAAATTTCTTTGCTCCTACTCTTTCAGTAGGATCTCCGTGTCTCATCTTAAATGAATACTTAGGACCACATGGGATTTGCTCAAAGACTAACATAGAGTTTGCTGAAGGATCTGGCCCAGAGGGTAAAAATAGACCTCCTACCCCAATTTCTGTCCATCCCAAATAACCAATTTTCCCTAATGAACTCAAATGTTCTGGGAGGCACTAGGAAATCACTGAGCTTCTAGAAAAAAAAACCTAGGGGCTGATTAAAATGGGTTTCTTAATCATTTCATGTGGGTACACCAATACAGAGGGGGAAGAGTAAAACCTCATCATTTGGGGCTCTTCAATGAGCAGTTTAAGCAGAAACCAGAGCTCTCATCACCCCCCCCTTCTCCTGAACCAAATCCAAAAATGTTTCTTGTAATCTCGTAATTAAGGACATCTGAAATTTATCAAGGGGGCTCTAGCTACCCCTGGCATTCTACTTCCCCCTGCACAGCAGCAATACCACCAAGTTGTCATCAATTCATGTTGAGTTGTCTTGTGCAGTATTTCCTAATTATGAAGCAGCCTAGACACACACACACACACACACACACACACACACACACACATGAACCCCACACTCATTCTACTTAGAATAGGAGGGACAACTGCATGTCATTCAGCAGCCAAACAACATGTTGGCTTTGAATGCTGCATCTTTCAGACTATCTGAACAAATACAAAGAAGTAAAGGAAATCTTCCTATCTATTAAAATTAAACACAGAATTGGCATGCATGGCTTTCACCTAACTTCAGTTGTCTTGGCTATTATGGGCTATGATTACAGAGAAAAAGCAGTGTTATAAACCTGTACCTCAAAGACAAGTGTTATTTCAAATGATCAATCCTTAATAAAGAGAAATCCTTCCTAAGGTTAAAGTCAAGTGAAAGGTTTCTGCATCTTAAGTATGAAATATTAGGATTATAGATAAAAAAGAGTTACTTAAAATATGCCATAACATTTCATTTAAAATATAACTAGAATGTCTGGTCCACATTGAAATTATTACTGTAAGTGCAACTGTTAAAAAGGTATCAAAAACCCTGATTCTATTGAATTGGCCTCTAGTCATTGTGTTTTCTCCCGGAGCTTTCTGTTTGGCAGTGAGAGCATGATTTCTAAACTACAGTATTCTTCTGCATTTTTTTCATTAATTTTTTACTTGTGTTTTTTAGACAAAGGAAAAAAATCACCAGCTTATAAAAAAGGAGCCGGAAGAGTTTTGCTCCTGAAATACAGACTTGCGTTTTTATAAAAAAGGATATGGTTTCTTGCTATAAAAAGCGACCAAAAGGTGTCAGACCTGAAAACAAATTCTCACAGTGTTTGTAGCGTTGGTTGTTTACAAGGCATTCAATAGAACAGAGCCAGACGGATACCATACCATTCATGTACTAGCTTGTACATTAGAAAGCCTCCTGAAGGGATCACATATGTGACATCATGTACCCCAAACTAATCAATTGTTGATTGATTCCAACTTTCCCCAGTAGAAGGGTTGACTAGGAATCCACTGTGCTTTATATAAATCCTACTGAAATTGGAGCAGTTTCTTCCCAACATTCTATCTCATCTCTTTCAGCTAGCTCTATACCATAGCCCTAAGCACATGGTGTCACATCATAAGTCGCTGGTGTTTCTCCATCTCAACAGCCAGGATGAATGCTAGACAATACACTGGGGGCTCAATTAAGAGCAAAGAGTGAGACCAAGGATCTGACTTGCCACTCTCCTGAGATCCTCCAGCATTCTGAAGATACAGAGGCAAGGGACACTTAGGTTTTTCACTTTTAGATCTGCATATGAAAACTTTCCCCACACATAAACATTTTAAGCGATGTGTATATGTAAACAGCCTTCCAGAGAAGAAAGACTAGTTTCTGAACAAATTAAGTGGGGAAAATAGAAAGGCCCCTAAGCATTCAGTAGAAAGGTCATGGACTAGCACATTTTGCAGTTCTGGAAAAGTCACTCAAAAGGATGGTTATCAATCTATCTCTTATTGGTAAATGTGAATTAGTGGCCCAGAAGAGAAGTCACAAGAAAATAAACCTTACATACTACAGAGTGTTTTGAAAAGCAACAACAACAAAAAAAAATTTTTAAGCACCAATAGCCTTGTTGGTCACTTGAGCGAAAGAATTCTGCTATAATAATAGGCTTTGATTTAGCCTATCATCTTTCACATGGAATCGCCAAGTGAATCAGAGTCATCCAATGACAGCGGCAGGTACAGGTCCTGTAAGAAGAAAAGAGGCGAAGTTAACTCTCCTTTACTTGGTACCTTGAGCTTTGAAATGGTTTTAATTGTTTGAAATAATATTTTTCTAATTTTATTTTTAAAATAATTAACACAATCACAAGGAGCTTTAAAAGTGTGTCAAGAGGTACCCCTGTATTATATTAATATACTCTTTACTCAGCTTCCTCTAAAAGGTAACATCTACCTGATAGGCGTGTTTTTGAGTGTGTGTGTGTGTGTGTGTGTGTATGTTTGTGTGTGTGTGTGTCTGTGGTGTGTGTGATATGTGTACAGGGGTAAAAGTTGGGACAAATAAAATATCTAAAAATTCCATCAGGAAAAGATATAAAATTAGTTGTCCGTGGGGAGATTTGAAACTCTCTAACATATGTTCCTGGGAATCCTAGTGGCCAGCTACATGTTGATGACTGAGTATGTATGCTCAGTTAAAAATCTGTGTCCATGGGGAGCTTTGAAACTCTCTAGCATATATTCCTGGAAATCCAAGTGACTGGCTACATAAACCTGAGATGTTCCTAATCTTTCAGTCCTAGATGATTTTCAGGCCCTGTGCAAGCAGTAAGTAAAGGGTAGGCTATAGTCATCAACTGACTAATAGAGTATCGAAATGACCCAACATTCACAGAGCCAAGCAACATCAAAGTTTTACTGAAAACACTTAAGGAACTCAAACAAATCCTTCTGAATAGTGTTCACAACTAGCACACTTGTCCTACAACAAATATTAAAGAGCAGTCTCTCAAGGGGCTATGATTATAATTCAGACCCATATTCTTAAAAAAAAAATCAGTTGGGTAAGCTTGTCAATGCATTCCAGAGCTGGATAGACTAGCTTTTGTAATTATTTTCTTTTATATTGATTGAAAATATATTTATATTTTATTGTATATATTTTGTTTACAACATGAGGTTATTGGATACATATAGATAATAAAAGTAGTTACTACAGAGAAGTAAATAGCATCTTTGGATTCACATACTTCTTTTCCTGTAGGAGAACAACTAAATCTACTTCCTTCCTAATCGTTTTATTAAATTCTGTCACTCGTAGATTAGATTTGTAGATTGGTTCGAAAAGCTTGTCTACTATGTTTATAGATCTTATCTGTTACGTTGTATCCATGATATAAACATCCCATTTCCTCCAACCCTCCAGTCCCTCTAGTAATCTCTGTTCCGTTCTCCTTCTCTAGATATTTGAATTCTTTTCTTTAAAAAAAAAATTCCATACATAAGTGAGATCATGGGATAGTTCTCTTTCTGTGTCTGGTTTATTTCAAAAGAAAACTGTATGATCTGGTAATTACAAAAATGTGTTGATGGACATTTTGTTTATAAAGACATAATTTGTATGTTTATAAGAGGCCAAAGAAGGGGAAAAGAAACAGTGCTACCCTGTAGCAAAAATGTTAGACAGAGTTTAAATAAAGTTGGTACTAATCTGGATTGCACTAAGATAGCAATGAGGTGAATGTTGAGGACCACAAAGTCTCCAATTGGCCTTTATATTATTCAAGATCTTTCTGTACTTTCTGAGAAACACCCACACAGTTCACTAACTGGCAGTATCCGTGTCTTGTGTTTTTATAAGACTGAAGAAAACAAAATGCAGTTACTGAGCTCATAGTTCATAAGATTTTTAGAACTGGAAAGACAGACAGTTAAAGATTTTGTAGTTCATATGAAAGCTCCAAAGAGTTTACCTATTGGCTTTCTATCTCATGATTATATTCATTATTCAATTTAAGGCACTGAAAATATTTCAGTTAATACAGTTGGATTACCTGTCTTAATTCTATAAATTTGCTTCATATATACTGGTGTAATGTTCTTAAGTGCTATACACATATTTATAAATATATTTTCTGGGCACATTGACCCATTCCCCATGAGAAATGTTTTTATTTTTCCATAGTAACAAATTTGCTTTAAGTTCAATCTTTTTCTAATATTTGTATAGCCATCATAACTTTAGTTGCAGATTAATTTGTATGTTAGATCTATATATTTGTTCATCTGACTTATCTGCTATTTTGTATCTTTTGATCTCTATCATCCTATTTCCCTCATAGTTTTTTCATGTGATTTTACTCTCAGTATATTTATGTCTTTCAGTCTATATTGTTTTTGCTTTAGACAGCATAATTATAGGTCATGATTTAAAAAAAAATGTATTCTGCCGAGTACACTTAATCTACTAATACTTAAAGTAATTTCTAGTAAATAGGAATTATATCAGGCATCTCACCTTTATCTGTCTTGTCTCTTTTGCTCAGTATTCAATTCTTTGTTTTGTATAAAATGCATATTGTCCAGTGTATAATTTCATTGTTTGTTTTGTTTTAAACTAATTTTATCTTGAGTTATTTTTAAATGTTGATATAATTATAATTGTTTGGTAGATATAGTGAGATTATTGGTGACTTTACCTCATAAGAAATGAGGAGAGGCCGATGGGTAGATTTGTGAGAACTCTACTTGTAATTTCTGTGACTTAGAGTAAAAATTTGGGCTATGGAAGGAATATATAGGAATAAAGCGAGGTAGGAACTGCTTCTATACCTTTATAAATTCATTTCATATTTAAAGCCTGAGGGGTGTAAGGGAAGAACAATGTTCAGGAAAAATAATTACCTCAGCATTCTCTTTTTGTTGATTGATATGTAGAAACACAGAAAGACACATATTGCTTAACAATACAAATAATTTGCACCTGCAATTCATTTGCTTAGTCCCTTGGAGACCTCCAGAACAAAATGTTTGTAACAAATACAGCTGTGCTGGCAATACTACTGCATTAGAGAAAACAAAAAGTTGGTCTTTGGTCCAAGAAGCTTATAGTCCAAATGAAACCAGGAAGAACGTTGGAGAAACCTAGCTTCTTGTTAGGATTTGATGGGTTTTTTTTTCAAACACATCCTGCACTTTCTTGGTAGTATAACGCTGCTCTTGCTGATGATTTAAAGCTTGTGCCAGCCTTTTGAAAGCTTATCCAGCCTTCAAGACCCCCGTTAAATAGCACATCTGTGAAGTCTTTGCCAGCTCCCACCTTCCTTGAGTCCCCATCAAATGTCCTTCCCACCCAGTTTTGTGCTCTTGCTTGTATTATCCAAAGCCATTTATATTATAAATTATTATTATATTATATTTATAATTGTGCCTGTGATCTCAGGGTCAGGACCCTTCTTTATTCATCAAACTGTCTTTCTGACCACTGTTAGGAGAACAAAAGAAATCTGCAAATAAAAAAAAGGTGTGTATTTAAATGATGTGAGAGATATATGCTCAGGTACTATGTTAGATATGTTTTCCTTTTATTGTCATTTTGCAGAAAATTCTTCGAGTTTAGAATTATGGGTGAAATCACTAAACTGAAATCATCATAATTAAACCAAAGAGCTTTTCTACGTTTCTATATGTTTATACATTTTTAAACAGGGTATTATCTCCAAAAGCAATCTTTAGTAAATATTTGTTAAATCTTACTGAGGCTGTCATTAATCTCTGTAACTTTTGCCCTCATCTCTAAAATGGGAAGGCTATCTAACTGTCCTTTCTCTTTCACAGGGATTTTGCAAGGATAAGCAAGAACGTGACTTGTGAAAGGTTAAAGTAATATAGAAATACAAAATGAAATGTTGTTCTCATTAACTACCTTAAGATGTACTGTGTGTCCATATTGCAGCACTGGAGTATGCGGACTTTGGCTAACCCCATTGCAGCTGCATTAAAGAGGATTCTCCATGAGCTGCCTAAAAGAAGCCAAGCTCTGATTACAGCTTAGAGGCCCAGCACAGCCATCAAAAGTTACCAAGGGGATGCTAGGACTTCAAGATTTTTTCCAATTGCAAAGGAGCAAAGTGATTGCCTTGGCCACCTGCTTCCTGTCTCCACAATGACTCAAACCTTTCAGGTCCACTTGGATAGAAGTTCAGATGAGATCTGCTCTGGCCACTGCCCAGGGTGTTTGATGGCTCAGGTAGCAAGCAGGGTAAATGGACAAATGCAAGGCTCAGACCTGAAATTTGGAAGGACTGAGCCAAAGTCACAGCCAGCTTTTAGGTTATTCCAAAAAGTTAGCTCAGTCTCCATTTCTGGCCATGTAAATGTAAAGCCATGGGATACACATCTTCATTTCTAGAATGTTCTGTCCTGAAAGATAAAATCTTAGGAATCCTTCCATATTAAAAAAAAAAAGCACTAAAAGAACACAGTCAGAAAAATACAATACTTGATCCTAGATTAGATTCTGGACCATAAAAAGAATGTCACTGAGGCAATTGATAAAATTTGAACACAAACTGTCACAGTTTTATATCTTTGTTGATTAAATTTCATGATGTCCTGCCATGGTTAAAAACCACTTTGCCATTATACACATTGGATGTTTCAGTGTAACAGGGCATTATACTTGAAACTCAAATCTCAGATGACTCAGAAAAATAGTAAAAAGTAAAACTTATATGTATTTGTATCCATATACAGATAGAAAAAGAGAGCACGGAAAACAAGTTAAGTGGGGCCAAACAGAAATAAGTGATTAACGTGTATAAAAAGAAGACAGAGTCTTTATGATTACTACAACTCCTCTGTAAGTTTTAGGTGATAAAAATATTTTTAAATGCTATGTTATATCAAAATCTGAATGTACATTTTATTTTAAAGTTTGGAAAGTATGATATAATTTATTGGTATGTGTTTCTGTCTTAAAAATTAATCTTAAGAGTTCAATATCCTGAGAACTCTGTATAGAAGAGAACAGTGTGACTCTTACAATGCTGCTGGCCATGGGCTGTGTCCACTTCTTGAGTGACGAAAATTGTTTATAGAATTGAGTGGAGAAAAAAAATAAGGTACACATGTCTACAAGCCCAACCAGGAGAAACAAATCTGACAAGGCCAAAACTCACCAAAACTCTTGGTAAATGATTTACCAAGATTTAGTTCTCAATCTAAATGAACTGTATGTACATACCCGCCGAAAGGCAGAATGATATAAGTGTGCAGACTACTTCTGGCACTTTGGGAAAGATCAATGGAAAGTAACCGCATCAACAGAGACAGAATGTTACTATCTTTGAATGTCTATATTAACAAACCTTGCTACTTAGCAAATAATCAAAAACAAGCTTTAATGTGATTTTCATTCACCTCACAACCTCTGAGTAACACAGAGCATATTCTAAAATCCAATAGCTCGAGAAGGAGAATCCAAAGGTTCTGCTCAGGATCAATACCAGAAATAAAAGGAGTCATTGGAGGAAAGAAACAGGCGTTATCAGTAACAGGGCAGGGGAAGACGAAATTAACCAGGAAACTAAAAACAACATGCTGTAAAGAAAGATAAAGACAAGACATTTGAGATAGTGATATGCTATGAAATATTTTTAAAGTAACAGTGTGTGTGTGTGTGTGTGTGTGTGTGTGTTTCCTACACCACAGCACACATATCGAGGTCAGAGGTCAACTTTCAGGTGTCACTTTTTTCTCCTTCCACCATGTGTGTTCTGGGGATTGAACTGAAGTTTTTGTGCTTAGTGTCAAATGCCTTTACCCCAAGTCGTCTCTCCAGTCCTGCTGTTAAGTATTTAACAATTGGCTTTCTGTAGGTAAAATGATAATCTTGATTTATTTGGTGATTTACAATTTGCTGATTTCCATCGTCCAAACAGTCCTGCTGTGACCAAGTTAAGGTTAATATATTACACATATAGTTTAAAAAACTAAGGTGTGTGTGTGTGTGTGTGTGTGTGTGTGTGTGTGTGTCTGTCTGTCTGTTACTAAATACATAAATACAACCTGCTCAGTCTGTGTAATGTAATGTTAGTTTATGCATGTATTCAGGGCTGACCATTTGGTATTTCATAGCCAAATGGTGTGCTCTTCCTTGGAGAAGACTCTTTCTCCTGCTCTTAGCATTCCATAGTATGTATTCCATATGTATGTATTCCATAGCCTGTAGTTCTTTATCTAAGGACACTTCCCACTTCTATAGTAAAAAATAATAATAATAACTCAAAAGCTAGTGTAAACTGACTTTAGCATAGCACTGTGGTGACCACCACAGCACTGTGGTGACCAGTATAGCACTAATGGTGACCGGCATAGCACTGGTGCATACTAGTTCTGTTGCTAATTTTGTTGCCCTAGTAAGGCATTTAGCTATCTGGATTGGTTTCAATTTCTTTATCTATTCTAAAAGTTCATAGTATTATTGAAGTAACCCAACAAAATATTTCCATCTACAAAATCTTCCTTTCTGGTCACTCTATGATGGAGTTAGACTGATGGCTAGACTTTGCAAATTTGCATTTCATGCCATGACTTTGGGGCCACTAGACAAAAATCTCCTAGTAGAACTTGCTTTTCAGTGTGATAATCAGAGGGAAAAAAACACACACTCATACTCATCTAAGGTATAAGAAATTTAAAGCAGTGAACATCCCAAATTCTCTATATAGGAGAGATTTCTGGGAAGGAGTATGCTTGGAAATTGATCCTAGGGAATTTTTTGGAGTGTTTCTTAAATCTAGAGGTTTTCTGTGTAGTAGACAAATGGAACTGCATCTCTAGCCCCTACACTGCTCTGATTCAATGCTATACTTCTTTGGGCTAGCTAAGGGATCAAAATGGTTCCCAAGGCTATTGGCAAAGTGTTTGTTTCCTTTCTGCATTTGCTGAGGAAGAATCTCCCTAGTAATGAAGAATGTGCACAGTGAAACGTGGGTCCCTTTGTTCAATGATGTCCAGCAAATCTAAAGAGAGAACCTATTGCAACTTTTAAAAATGTAATGCTTGCATTTGTATCTGCACATACGTATGTGCATCATATGTGTACAGTACCTGTGCAGACTAGAAGAAGGTATCAGATTCCCCAGAACTAGAATTAACAGGTGTTTGTAGGGTACATGGTGGAGTTGCTAGAAAGTGAACCTAGATCCTCTAGAAGGGCAATATATGCTCACCACTACCAGGCTATTTCTCCAGTCCCAACTCTGTGCAACTTTTACTGCTATATTTATATTACATGCCTTGACATAAGTTGCCCTCGACACCCTCTTTGCTATATGCTGGAAATGGTGAGGCATGTGGTTTTGGTTTGCTTTCTATTACTGTTTCAGAATGAATATTTGAGACCATTGTACTACTTAGGGGAAAATGTTAAAATGTAACTGAAGAATGTTAAAAGCAAGGGTTAGAGAAATCAATAAAACTGGCTTGTTTCCTGCTGGGATTCTTGGGACAACTTAATGGAGTCAATGAAGGAGAACCATGGCTTCAGGGTACGTTTGAAGTCCAGTGGGTGAGCACACCTGTAGCAAGACTTTTAAGAAACTCTGAGTCCAAAGAGGTTTAGTAAGGTATAAGAGACATAATACCTTGTGCTTCCGCAGACTTCCAGGGCTTGTAGGCGTAGAGATAGGAGACTGCTTCGACTTAGGTGTTGAGAGCTGACTGCTGGAAGTTCCATTTGCTGCCCCAAGGCAAGAGAAAAGGAAAGAATAAAAACCAACAGCAGGTAAACGAGCAGGTTCTCTCTTCCTAAGACACTAAGAACATTCAAACAAGGTACAAAGTCAACCAAGTCATTTGATAGATTCAAACCAAAGTGAAAAGAAACATGTTCTTCAAATGCCCTAAGAACTTCCATCCTTGGTTAATACGGTCCTGCACTGTGCAATGCATCCATAATCATCACCTTGCCCAGTGCTTCTCAGTAACAGGGTGCTATTTCTTTTCAAAATGTTTTCATACAAGTTACCGGGCTTGATCCTCACATCCCTGGGAGGCTGTTTGAGAAAGTATTATTTTACTCTAATTTTGGAGATGAGAAAGATAATATACAGAGAATGTATACACCTTACATTAAGGGGAAGAAATATGGGTACTTTAGGTTAGGACATACTCCCATTTGGAGTCAGTTGAATGAGAGTGATGTAGAGCAGACCCACTATCAATCTCTACTCTTTCTTATTCATCTCCTCTTCCTGTACTACTGTGCGCTAGATGAGACACCAGAAGGAAAGAAAAAGAAAATAGACTTATCAGAAAGAAGAATGAAATAAATTGGAGAAGCACAAAAGTAAATCTTAAAGAAGAGCTCAAGTGGAAAAAAATGGAACAGAAGAGAGAAGATAATGGAAGATCTGAAACAGAGGCAAGAAAGATAATGAGATTAGAATAAAAGACTGAGAACATACTGAAAGGCAGAGAAACAGGAATTAATTTCAGATAATTGTGAAAACCATCAAGGTCCAACCCCAGCCTGTCTCCAGTCAAGAACATGATGGAAATGAGATGATTTGCCTTTTGAACATCACTAACTACATTGCAATTTCAAGCTGTTTTCTATTCCCTTGATAATTAGCACGTTTAATATGAAAACAGAAAAGGTGTCACATGAAAATGAGATAATTAAATAGTTTTCCATGAGATGTTCTGCTTTCTTATGTTGAAACTTCTAGAAAGATATTCTGCGGTATGCTATTAAAACAGAGAGGAGTGTTTCAGAGGTGGGAGGTAGAGTGAGGGCAGAAGGAGAGAGAACACTTAAATAAAAAGATAGTCTAAGAATATTGTGGTTAGTTCTACAGATATGATTTAAACTTTGTTTCATGAATACTCCCTGAAGATATACCCCCTTTCCACCACTTATGATAATGTTTCCCTAGTTTCAAAAACATGCCCATCAATGGAACAAACAATAGCACAGAATTTGTACCTGTTGTGCTCATTGTTCTGATTATTCATGTTCAAATGAGCTGACAAATGACCACTTGGTCACTCTGTGACTGATTTCATGTGTATATTCAGTTACCTTTTGTTTATTCCTTGAGAAGCTTTCCTCCCTGCCATTCATTCATACCCATTAGGTAATAGCTAACGAACACTACCTATGAGCCAGGCAGAGATTAGATATTAGGATTTGAAAAATAAATACATAACTTCCTGGGGGATTAGGTAAAGTAAGTATGAGGATTAAGGTTTTCCTTCACAATATATTGCTAGAGCCCGAAAGACAGAATATGAAATAAGGGGACTTGGAAGTAAATAAGAAGCAACACCTGAGTATTTTGTAAACAAAATCTGTACTAGGCAAATGTCCAGAGAATGAAAGTAGGTCCTGGGATACCAGAGCCTGGGTGAGGAAAGAGATGGACAGAAGTCAGATGGTTTTGCTAATGGTTGGGAGCTTTGTCTTTGGAGACACATTCTGTGTCAAACTCTAAAGCTGCCTATAATCTACTGTGTGTTTTAAATTGGTTCATATTAATAAAGCTGTTTAAGAAAAGAAATGGAAACTAGTTAAGCAAAGAGGAGAGAAAGGGTATTCTAGGCGCTAGAATTGTTCAAGAAGACAAGAAGATGTAAAAGAATGTACAGTGTGTCTCCAAAGTACAAGTAGCTCACAGTGGCTCAATAGTAGGGTGGCAGGAGAGATTTCAAACAAATACAGCAGAAGACTAAGGATATGGCCCAGATTTTGTTGGGTCTCTTGTGTGACCCACTAAGACATTCAGAGTAAACCTTGCATAGTAGGACAGTAGCAAAATTACAGTTATGAAGCCCCAACAAAAATGATTTTATGGTAGGGGTCATCACAACATGAGGAACTATATTAAAGGGTTCTAGCATTAGGAAGGTTGAGAACCACTGTTATAGAATGAGTATCATGTTGCATTATCTTCAGAGTGAATAGAAATGACACCACTGACCAATAGCCTTCCTTTCACCTTACTAACATCTTGAGCCCTCTAGTAATGGAGAACACCTTGGGAAGGACTCTTCTCTCACTACCTTCATTTTTCCTGTTCCACCTCAGAACCACAAAATTGTCTCACTGCTCTCAGCTTTATTCACAATCCAAATCTTCTCATTTCTTCTTTTAGTATAGTTTTCCCCCCTTTGTGATGTGTGTCAAACTAATTTCAACCTCTTTGGCTACCTTGTCAATATTTTTTAAACTAGTATTATTTTGAAGAGGAAGCAGAGTTAGAGGAAGTAGAACCAAGATTTGGATGTAGGAATTTCTGATTCCAAAACCTATGTATACACTTTTCTCTTTGTTTTCAGCTTTTAGGACATAGGCCTTTCTTTTAAACAAGTGCTCCTGAGATTTCTTCCTCTGACAGTTTTCTCATAGAGACTAGGAGAAAGAGGGCAAGTGATGGTAGAGAAAAATAAAAAAAAGGAAGGACAAAGAAGAAAGTAGTGGTAGTCACCAGCACCAGATGTAGGGCTCATCGTCAAGAAGGCTTCTAGCCTATCTAATCCTGTTCAAATTAGAAAGTGGTTAGCAAGAGCTTCCTTTCAATTAAGCAAACTAATTGAGCACATACACAATGTCACAAAGCAATAGGACACTAGAGAGAGAGTGAGCATGGAATAACTACTCTCGTGCCACAAAGCTCTCTGACAACACGGTATCTGTGTTCTGTTGATTCCCTTAATCAATACTCTTCAGCTGTGAATGCAGGACAGTTGCCAAGCTCAATTACACATCGTCATGTCTCCCAGTATTTTGGGGTGGTTGTGTCCTTGCTCCTGTACTCATTTTTAGCCCTTTCCCCTTGTCAGTGGTACCTATCTACATGAAACAGGACATGTAAAACAGGATGGCTGGTAAGATTAGCAGGTAGTTGACCTACCTGGATTTACAGGGATTTAAAATATATTACAATAAACGAAAGAAGGAAGGATGCTGTTTTTCAAAGAACAATAAAAGAGCCCACTTTCAAGCATGTGTAGTCAAAGAAAGAGTGAAAAGTGTCACCAGCCAGGTAGTGCTGATGCTGAGATTCCAGGTGGTGTGTTTTCTTCTCTGGAGTATACACACGTCCCTGAAGATGATGTCTCTAAGTGGTCCCAAGAGTAGTGATTAAAGAGTTGTCTGGGTAGTGAGTTATACAAGTTGTATTATACATTCTTAATTCAAGTTCATTTGACTGAATTGGCATGAAAAAGGAAGAGTCTCTTGGTTTGTGCCTTGTTTTTAACCCATGATGACTGGGCACTAAACTGATTTTAATGTTCATCCACCTCATCTTGACCTGCTCACTCATTGTAATACCGATATTGAGACTCACTCAAAATCAAGCTTGTTGTTTTTGATAGGATGTTTATCCTGTAATAAATCAAAAGTAATCTCAGCCTACCCCCCAAAATCAAATAATTCAACCCTCCCCCACATTGTTGTTGTATGGCTATTCCTAAAACAATTTATCATGTGCAATCCCACATGATTCTCTCCTTAATCAACAGAGATTTGGAGATTTTAGAAGACTTGCCTAGTTTAAAGTATGCAACTCTTCCTCTCCATTCCTTTCTTTCCTTCCGAATTTGATCACACATTCCATTTCACAATTTCCCACTTCTCCTGCACTGTGACCCTTGTATGATTTACTATCAGTCTTACTCTTGGTATCTCCTTAATGCCTTACAGAGGGAGATCTTAACACATTATCCAGCCAGTTCTATGTTTTCCCATAGTGAGATGCTCTAGACTTTCTTTTATTCTGGTCTAAATAGTTTCCGTTTCCTTTGTACTTGCATAGAGACTTTTTATAGAAGGCTATGTAAGAGGAGCCAAGGTGGCTAAGACTTACTTCAGAACAAAGCCAAAAGACAGACCTATGGTTCTCATTCATCCATTCCAAAGTGCCCTTGGGTGCTGTATCTGAATAGCTTTGGTCAATTGTTCTTGCTAAATATAAATAAATGCTTTTGTTCTTCTTCCCAGACTCATCCATCAAGAAAGCAAGATGTTAGGACACAGAAAAACTTCTTCAGGGATTCATTTCATTGGGCTGTTTCTCAAGCCAAATTCAATCATAGATTGTGAGATACTGTAGATTTACAAGATGAAATGTGAATTTTAAATCTAGTTCCTACCGTGTCTTGGAAATGATACAGTTGTGAATTATTTAAATAAAATGGAGAAGAGTCTTCCCTGTTGGAAAACACATTTATTTACCCAACCTTGCAATTTTTGTGGGTAGAAACTAGATCTTGACTTATGCTAGGCAAGTGCCTACAACTAAAATCTATCTACAGTCAATCTTGCAATATTTTCATATAATGAGTTTCCTTAAGAAGGAGAAAATTCGTGTGGGGTCAGTTCTCATCTTCCTGTAGCTCTGCCAAGGATATCAGTTCACCTTGGAGTGACATTAGGGGAATTCATAGAATATGTTCAGAGCAGATCATTAGCAGCAAAAACACCAACACTAACTTACCTGCAGCACTGGGCTCAATTCAGCACAAGTTAATGACCAAAAAACAACCTAATATCTCTTGGCCTTCTCATGCCCCTGCCCTGGAGGTGCAGCCAGGAGAAGGACACTGAGAAGCAAGGACCATGCAAAAGAAATCTTTGCACTCAACACACTGGGAATCCTAGGCCCCACCTCATGTAAATACAAAGAATGCCTGCTGAGAGGTAAGGAAGCCTGCTTCTGGTTCTTGGATACTAAATAGTTGTGTGACAGTGGGAAGATATGAGGAACTGCACCTCAGGTTCTCAATGTTAAAAAAAAAAAAGCAACCTAGATAATTGTTTTTTTGTAACTTAATTCATAGTGCTATTGTAATGGCCTGTAGAGATGATGAAAATGTTTTTTGAAAAATCCACAGTATTTAATTCATGTGAAGAATTGTTACCTTGAATCTAATCATTCTCTGCTAAGGAAGAAAGGCATTTTTATGTTACTAAATACAGTAAGTAGTCACTAGTCACACTGAAATGTGGCTAATCAGATTTCAGATATACTCATTAAGTATAAAATATAGAGCAATTTCAAGGAAGGTAAGCCGGTCAATAATTTTGTATATTCATCACATGCTGCAATGATTGCCTTTGAGCGGATTGGTAAATAAAATCTATCTATATTATGTTCATTTTCTTTTAATTTTTAAGTGTGACCACTAAATATTTAAATTAAACAATATGTATGTGATGATGTCATATGGAACCCATTATTTTGTGCAGTTAATTATACAACTTTCAAAAATCATATACAAAGCTTGCATTATTATCATTTTAGTTCTATTAAACAGAGTTAGTATGTCAGGAAAATCAGAACAATCATGAACGGCTGCTTATGTTTAACAATGGACACTCCACTGATTGTAATTCATTCATAGACTCTTGCTGTTTTGTGTCCCTTGGCCAGAGAGCTAAAGAGATTATTACATATTTAAAAGCCAGTGTGGTGGTGCATGTGCCTGTAATATTAGCACTGGGGTGACATACACAGGATGATTCCTGACACATGCTGGGCATTCTAGCCTAATCAGAAAGCCTCAAATCTCAGTGGAAGAGCTCTGTCACAAAGCAAGGTGGAAAGGACCTGAGGGACACATGAATTTTTCTCCGTACAAGATTTTTTTTTTACGTCTCTGAAATGACATAATTAGAGATCATAGGTATACTGGTGACCATGAAAGAAATCAATTGTGTCATGTAGAGGGCATCAGCCTTCATAAATAAAGTTAACATGAACAACAGAAGAACAACACTCACCGTCTTGGTCGTTACCTGAGTCAGCTGGAGACTTGCTGCGGCGCATTGGGCCTGGGCTTTTAGCAGATGTCTTTTGAGGTGTTGGGGAAGCCTTTGGGCCAGCTGCGGCAGATGGATTCCCTTTCATGACTCTGCATTCTGGGGACAAAAGAACATAAGCAGCTTAGAAAGGAGAATCAGACTCTAAGCATGCTACCAGCATCTCAAAAACAGAATATCTACATGGGCCAATGCAACAAGTGCCTCGGGATTACAAAGTGTTCCTCATTTTTTTGTATACATGTCTGTCTGTATGTGTGTATTTACATATGTATGTGTACTGTGTATGTGCCTGGTGCACGTAGACATCAGAGGCAGTAGTAGGTCCCCTGGAATTGGATTTACGGATGGTTGTGAATCACCATGTGGATGCTAGAAACCAAACCTAAGCCTTGCAAGAGAAACAAGTGTTCTTAATTGCTGAGCCTTTTCTCCAGCTCTCTGGCCACAGTTTCTTAATTTTGCTCTGATATAAAACGTAGAACCAAGCAACATGGTAGAAGAGAAACTTCTATTTAGAGACCTCCCAGTTGACTCCTACTTAAAGGTACATTCAAAAGACAGATGGAGCATAATTTGGTCAATTGAAATTTTTAGGAAGCTGAATTGAGTGGATCTCTCATTTTTGTTTTTATTTTGGTTAATGAACTTTAGTGATCACCATCAAGAGCTGCAGTTTCGTATGGAATGGGAAATTGGATATAGCCTGAATATGTTCCCTGTTTCATGGTTATTGGCCTACAGAAAAACTGTAGAAATGGCCACTTTTTAAAAGGACTGGGCCTTGAGTTGCTTGTGGCTTGTCTATTAGTGAAACTCCCTTTGGTTCATTTTACTCCTGATTGGAAAATGTGTATTTAATATGTCTTTCCATCAGTGTTTCTTCTTAGTTCTCTTGTGTGACCTAATTCACTTATAACTTTTACATGGAACTTAAACTAATAGATGTTCAGGTCTTTCTTGAAGCAAACAATCTTTTGGAATGCTAAGGCAAAATGCAGATCGAATGAAGTAGCAAGTACAAAGATGGGAATGCAACTTGACACAAAGAATAGAATGAGGAAAATAACTTTCTAAAAAATGTGACCATTACCATATACCAAAAAGCCAGAGGAGAATGACTAGGAAAAAAGTGTAGGTACAATATATGTGTAGTTGTTACTACAGAAGTTTTCTCTTGATGGTACCGGCTAGCTTATATGATACAGAATATGATTCAAGAATTGTGGTCATAATTGGGGTAAATGGTAAGTTTCATGTAGTATGAAGGCTTCTGGGAGATCCAGCTGACATATCACTTTATGTATTATATACACAGATACAAAGGAGAAATACTAATAATATCAGCCCGTGGGGTATCATTTTTTAGTATTCTCCAGGCCACATAAACTCATGAAAATCCTAAGGGATGGAAAGGACAAGAAGAAAAGCAAAACAAATCCCAGTGGTCATCATGCTTACCATTTTCATCCAAGGAGAAATCATCTTGAGCATAGCGGAATTTTTCTGGACCACAAGCAATGAACACATCATCATCACCAAAGAAATCATGGAGACAGGTGACCTATAGAGAAAGCAGAAATACCAGATTAGTACTTTATGTCCTTACAAAGGTAACTTTATATGTTGACAAGGGACACAATTTCACATCTAAGGTATCATCACTAACTCTTAAGCATCTCTCTCTTTTTCCTCAAAAGGTCAATCACATTCATAGTATTCACTATGATCCCTAGTGAGTAAACATAAAAGTATCATTGTCTTTCCATGTTTTAGGTATGGTCATGGTGTCTCCACATAATCGAGACTAAGATTGAGATGATGCCTAAATGGATCCCTCAGAAGAAAAGTCAGCCAGTGTATGTTTCAAAGTACTCATAGCTTAGGCAAATTTTGAGTGTCAGCCACGTGAGAGAGATTGACTGCAGCTTCTGATATATAGACCTTGTAGCATACCCAAAGTTGGAAATTCTTCTCTTTATATTCATGTGGTCTAAAGGTAGATCATTTTAAATTTTCTTTGGATGTACAAAGACTGGACTCTCAGTTTTAAAAGTACTAGTACAGTAATGAGCTAGAATTTCATTCCACACTGAAAAGAGGAAATATATGTTGACCATTTTAAACCTCATCAATGGCAATGTGTACCATAAAGCCATGTTCCCAGGACCCTTGCCTTTGAGTGTGATATGCATTGCTACTTTGGTTTGCTTGTTTGTTTTACAGTGGAAACAGTTTCCCAGCTCCCTTTTGAACAGAGAAATGAGGGTCCCTGGGAAAGTATCCTGATTCCTGTAGCTGCACACTTCTCAGCTTTCCTAATTATAGCTGATAATCATTCCAGCACACCAGGCAAACCCCAAGAGGAACCATGCTCATCCAACTTCCTGGCTTGTAAGTATTCAAAGCTTCTAACTGTTCAAAGAATCTCATTCAAGCTGCCAGGAAATGGCTCTCCAAAGGCACAGACCACACAAACTAACAACAGCTTGCTATGTGCAGAAAGCAGTATGTTGCATTTTAATAAAAAGGTTTATATTAATAACATCGTCCCCTACCCAAGATCTCTTCAATCTCTTGTTTTTCCATCCAAGAGTATTAAAAGCCTTACACAGAGAGCCTGAACATTACTTCTTACTGGCTAAGCTTCCCAATCATCTATGAGATGCCAGGGGAAGGAAGGGAGAGTTGGCGGACTGCCAGGGTCACTGAGATTAAGCTTCTTCCTAGTTATGAGCTTCATCCTCATCAAACACACCCATGTCCTTTTGCAGCCAGTGTGTCTATCTTTCATTAATTTGCTACACAATCAAATAATACCAATTAGAGCAACTATTGATTAAATGCTTACTCTGAGATAGGATTTTGACTGGCTGGAGTGCTTCCAAATCTGTCATCTCATTTCAGAATCAGAATACAGTATCGTATTCACTATTTTAGAGATGAGAAACCTAAGAGTCAGAAGTAGTCTAGGTAAAAAGCTGATACATCTAAGTAAACAAATCTATCCAATGTACCTTTGACCATCCAATAATATGGACACTTTCATAGATTGTGGAAACTGGGATAGAGAAGAAGAATACTCACAGACATATCACCAAGATCACAGTCTGATGACATGATACAAATTGAAACAGAGCATGTTTCAACGTAATTTCAAGGACAAGAGAATATAGAGGTGTCATGGAAGCTATTGAATAACAATCATATTCAAGTGACTCAGTCTTCGGCTGGCAAGGTTCGTTCAATGAATACTCTTCATGTGGTCTGGGAATCAGTTCCAATAAAAGAGGTCAGTTAAATGCTTTGAGCCCTACTCTAGATCTCCTGCCAATGTCTTTGGCTACTGGATCAATACAATCTGGAGATTTAATGTTTATATACCAAATAGGTCTGCATTGTTTTCTTGATTGAGACTACCTTCATGACTTTTTGTTCATGAGTGAGGAATGTCTCAGTCTTGAACTTCCCTGGCTATCTCCAAGAATTAGAATTTTCTTTCAAGACCTGATTGTGCTTTCAGAGACACTTACTTAGTCCACGTCACCAGACAAGAGACCAAGCCCATCCCTCCCTCTGAATTTCCTTGTTGATCCTGATTAAGAGTTTATGGCCTAATAAGAATTTAGCCTCGGTTGTTTCTGGTTAGACTGAATAAGAAGAAGAGAGGAAGGAGAAAAATTAAAAGAACTTTAATGGATATAAAATGAAAAGTAGAAAGAAGAATCAGCTACAGATGGGAACAAATATGAACATTCAGAGACTTTGAAAAATAAGTAAAGCACAAACATAAGAATAAGAAATGCTAAGTGTCTATAAATTCAAACATTGATTTTCACAGAGCTGTCTTAGTTGTTAAAAATATAATATTGAATAGATAATTTTTCATCCCAGCTACATGCGTAGTATCTTACTCTGGGATAACAAAGTAGGACCGACTTCTAGAGTACTTGCTGTTACAACAATCCCATTCTCTCCGAAGCTCAAGTCTCTCCTGTCCTCTCAGGCTTAACACAAAGCTTTAGGCTGGCCCTCCCTTTGGGGATCTTATAAGAAAGGCAATGTTTCCTCTGTTTTTGACAAACTCACAATGGTGTTCTGGCTTCAGACACACTCATGTTGCAATCCAGCTGTTCAGCATCATGTTTCTTGTGTGATCCTGCTCCCTGTTTTACTGCCTTCAAATTATAGACAAACACATCTTGTGTTTGTGTGGATACTCAGGTTTTCAAAAATACTTTTGATGTTGAGACACAGCAGCCCCCAACTTTGTTATATGATGAGAAAATAGAACATTTTCCATCTTTAAAAAAAAATGAGCATCTCAAGGCACAAAGAATCAAAGCTTCCCAAGGATACACAGCTGGCTCATGAAAAAGTTGGGACTAGTACTTGGGCATCCTACTTCAATTCAGAACAAAATAATTCAATTGCTTGGGCGAACATGACTCCCTAAAACTCTAGACAGGAGACTCTAGTCTCATTTCATGTCCAATACTCTTTAGACTGTCATGTTGGAAACCAAAGTTTCATTGTTAACTATATTTTTAATCCATGGACAGGAAAAACCTTGCCCAGTAGAAAACACTGAGTATATGGTGAAAGAGAGGGACAAGGAGAAGGAAGAATTTTTAAAAAAGAAAGAAGGAAAGTATAAAAGAAAGAATAATAATGGAGTATAAGAAACAAATCTCAAATGAAATAATTGATACCTGCTTTTTAAATTTTTTTCTAGTGACACTGTGACACCAAGTCTCCCTTGGCTCACACTTTAAATGCATCACTGTTATTTTCTAATTAGCTCTCTGAGGCCATCATTTTTAGAAGAAAGTGACAAAAAGCATGGTAACAGAATACTCATTGTGACATCACAGTATCCTAGAACAATAAAGGTCTTGCTGACATCAGCTCAAGTCTCAGCTCTACCAAGGAGAGAATACATAAGGGTGACGACTACCTTTATAATTAATCAACCACAGCACAAAATCAATAAAATTAATTCGAATTAACATTGAACCATTACCTCACTGTTCTTGGTTTTAAATAAAAAAGCAATGTAGGGAGAGGGAGGGTAGCATGGTTGTACATTAGTGTGAACAATATATTATTTGAATGGTCCAGTGTCTTAAATGTCGAAAGACAAGTGGAGAAATGGAGGTAACAAATCACTCTGTGGAAGCAGTTTGAGTTTATTAGCTGTAAATGGAAAATTCTCTGTGTGACTTGATTTAGGGTTGATTAGATTCTCTATCCATATATTACAGACAATGGCTATTCTTGCACGTACCTGCTGTTACTCTATTCTATAATTCACTTACCTAATTCTTCAGAAAGAAATGTTCTTCAAGAAGATTTACAAATCTATGAGACTCACTTTTGGCATGTGTAATATTTTTAGTGAAAGCTCACCTCCCCCATATTGATCATTACACATCTTCTCAGGCAAAGGAAGGACGTGAGAAATACAGGGACAAACAATAAAAGGCTCCTGCCTTCACAGCAGACAATGTAATAAGCATGTGTGAACTACACAAGTAATTAGAATACAACGCAGGCTGTTGTTAGCACTGCTCTAGAGGCACAAAGAGGAAGAGGAAGAATGAAGACAAAGAAAACAACAAAAGTAAAGATCACTGTGGCCTCCCACAATCATTTATATACGTGGCATGAAAGTTAAAGTGGGTCTATCTGAGACTTGTGGGGGATGGTGATGACAAACATGTTCAGTGCACACGATAATCTGGGATAAAATGTGTTTATGAAACCGATGAATGGATATTTGTCAATAAAATATTTTATACAGAGGACTGAGGAAGACATGACAGGGAAGACAAGTCACAAGCTCAGTCTTGAAGCGCAGACAGGATACAGACTGATGGAAACAGGAGGTGGTCTAGGTAGAGGTAGCTATGGGAACAAACGGCAAGAGGCAAGAGTATGCCATTTTCTTAACAGCCTTAAAGAAACAGAGCTACCTCTTACTGGCTATAGTAATCGATTTTACCCCTCTCAAAACACTGCACAGCATCACTGCCCAAGTCCGTATGTAGACAAAACATCCAATTAATTGCCTCCTGGTAGAATTCAGGGTGAAGGTAAGGGCAAAGGGCAAAGTGTATCTATGGGGAGGACTAGACCCAGTAGCGAGGAAAAAGGAACCTCGTGGAAAAGCAGACAAACCACATTGATCTCCCAGTCTTGCCAACAATGTGCCTTTGGCCATAGTGTGGCTGGCAAGCTTTGCAAAGTGAGTTAACGAAAGATTCAGTAAACACTACCAGTGAGGCTTTCTAGAAGTTACTGCCACTTTCATTCTGGAACATTTCCTGCCTGCCAGCTCTGGACTGACTCCAGTCAGGGGCTGACCCCAACTTGGCTTCATAAACTTTGGAATGTTTCTAGGTGACCTGGATTTTCTTATCAAACTCTTTTTTCCTTGGGGTTATCTTCAAGTTTTGCTTGCGGATTTTTCATAACAACACGGGGGGGGGGGGGGGGGTGGCAGGGCAAGCAGCTCCTTAATTCTACAGTGCCTATTTTTGGGCACAGATCTTTTTATTCAAT